AAGGTATTTTTAACATACAACCCTAAATTATTTGATACTTCTACCTTTAGAAATTGGTGCCTAATCTCCCTCTTTTTGAATATGTATTGGACTTAGAGACTTGCCTCTAACAAATAAAGCAGAGGTAAATATATGTGACTTCAGAAGCTATGGGATAAAGGACAATCTGCAGCTTTCTGCTTGATCTCTCTACTGTATTACTCACTCAGGGGAAACTAGATGGCATGTTGTGATGACATGACAGTCAAGCAACACTATGGAGGTCCATGTGGTGAAGCCTCCTATTAAGAGCAGAAACAAACTGAGGCCTCTAGCCAATAGCTGTGTGAATGAGCAATCTTGGAAGCAAATCCTTTAACTCTAGTCAAGCCTTTTGATAACCCAAGTCTTGGCAAAGCTTGGGAACTCCCAAATTCCTGATCCACAGATACAGTGAGATAATAAAGGTTTGTTGTTTTAAGCCACTAAAGTTTGGAGTATTACTTATGTAGCAAAAGATAACCAATACAAGGAGCATCATTAGGGATCCTAAAGACATTAAAAGGATAAGGGAATACTATAAATAATGTTAAGACAATAAATTCAAAAACCTATATGAAATGAACAAACTCCTTCAAGGACACAAACTACTGAAGCTCACTCAAAAGGAAAGAGATACCCTGATAATAGAAAATATACTTTCCTTCTAATCACACATGAATCTTTCACAAAAAAACGATTACATATTAGGTCACAGAAAAGAAGTGTCAATAAGTTCTAAGTTCCAGAGAGCAATTTTTTTTTATACAAACAACACTGTCTAATCACAATGCAATAAAACTAAAGTAACAAAATTAAAAATCAAAAAGTACCTTCTCTGAGAAAATTTTTAAAACCTCAAACTCCTGGGTGCAGAGGAACTACAATTTGAAATTACATAACTTCTAAAAAATGGTAATGATGAAACACTATATGTCAGCAGCATCTACAGGATGCTGGGGTATGTGTCTGAAAGTTTGATGCCTCAGAGTACCACCTTAACCAGGTTATCAAAGTTAATATCACCAATAATGGGAACAGCTGACCTCACGTGCCCCAAGAAGGACACAACACTCTTTCTCTGGTATCCCAGCCAAAAATGCATAACCTGAATGTGATGGTATGAAAATATCAGTCAAACCCAAATTGAGGAACACTCTACCTAATAACCAAGCTGTACTTTTAAAAAAATGTCAAGTTTCTTAAAAACAAAGACAGACTGAGGAACCAACTCCAGGTTAAGAGACACAACTAAATGTAACCTGGGATCTTACATTAGATGGTAGAAGACAGTGTAATAAAATCCACAACTGTACCATTAACAAAATTTGAATATGGACTCTAAATTAGATAATACTATTATACCACGATCAAATGTCCTGATTTTGATAGTTGTACTGTGGTTCTGTATGAGTGTGTCCTTGTTCTTATGAAATATACACTAAAGTACTGTATTAGTCAACTTTGTGTTGCTAAAACAGAATTACCTGAGACTGGGTAATTTGTAAGGAAAAGAGGTTTATTTGGCTTACAACTCTGGGGCAGCTGCATCTGGCATCGGCCTCAGGCTGCTTCTACTCATGGCAGAAAAACAGCAGGCAGCTGGCGGGTACAAGCAGA